AGTGGAGGGGGGATGGCTAGGGGCAGGTGGGATGTTGGGGGAGGGGAGGGAGAGGGGGAAGGGATTGACATCTGAAGCAAGCTTGTTCCTAATTTGAACTAATAAAATAAAATTAAAATTAAAAAAAGACAAACAAACAAACAAACAAAAAAACATCTGGTCCTCCTGCCTCCATCTCTCTACTGCAGGGTTATAGGATTATGGTTGTGCATGGTCAGGGCTGGTTTACAAGGTGCTGGGAGAACAAGGAAATCCATCCCCCAGTTTGGGGATTGGGGATGAGATGAAAATCTGATTACCTTGGGAAAGCTGTCAATTTTGAACAAACAGATTTATCAGGCCTCTGGGCATCGTAGCCATTCTTAGGTACTCTGGGGTTCAAGTTGAGAACAAAAATAAGGGCAAAAACTTAAGTTTGCTCTTGCAAACAGCAGCTCAGAATGAGACTTCGACAGGAGGGTTTCTGTTTATCCCTAAGGCTGCCTCAACAGTGACTTCAAACTTTGATGGTGCCTTTTTTTTTCCTTCTTCTTTCTCACTTTTTTTTTCTTCCAAAGATGTTGAGCAGCAGGCTAATGGCTCCCCAGCAGGGTGTAAAGACAGCAGAGAGCTCTGGAATCAGATGTCAATGTATTCCTCCAAGACATCCTGCTAGGACAGAGCTAACTAACCAGGGCTTTACACTTCTCCTGGGGAACACGCTTTGATGCTCCCCGCCTGCTCTGGGCCTCCTCTATGCTGCCTGATTAAAATGCTGTCACAGATAAATCATGACTTCTGCTGTTTGCTCACACTTTCGCTCCCCCACCCATCTCTTTGTCTTCTTACCAAAAGTTTGGAACCCTAAGATTTAAAACATAAACATATGCAGACAGTCAGGCCATGTCTCCTTATGTAACCATAAGGAGCTAGGGTTGGTCCCCACTGTACCCTCCCACCTGGCCTGCAGTAAGAGCTAAAGCAAAGTCACAAGTGTTTGATGTTCATTTCAGATAGATTTATAGGATGGGCAGGATCCACATGCTATTGTTTGGGGTCTTTATTTACACACATGCATTTAATTATATAACTAAACAACAACCCTACCACTGAGGTACACCCCAGCCCTATAAGTTTTCATATATTTTCTGTCAGCCACTTTTGCCCAATTATTTATTACTTCAGTAGTTTTCTAATGATTAGATTTTAGAGTGAGGATTCCTTCTCATTCTCCTTCTACAGTGTCACAGATTGCCTGGGGGATTAACACTGTCCAGCAGACAAGAGTTTTGACTTTTTTTTTAAACGAATGGCCATCTGAATGTGCTGGTGCAGGTTCCCACCGAGGACTCTTCAGGCACCCGAGTAGTGACACTCTTTCCTCTTTGCTTGGAGGAGATCTGAATTTGACAACCAGAAGCTCAAGCAGAAAGTGCTTGATCAATTAGGATGTTTAATAGGAAGAATCCTTTGAAAGCCACAGAGTAAAACCAAATTTCCCAGTGAAAGTTAATGGAGTAAAGTAGCCACACTTAAACCATACTTGTATCTCCTGCCCCAATGCATGGCCATCCGCCTCCTCTAACTCCCTGCTGTATAAAGAGCAGCCTTTCCAGTCTCCATCACTCCATGCTCCCTCCAAAGGACCTTCTCAGCCCTTCCTGCCACAATCTCTTTGCTTGGGCTTTACACGACTTTCTTGCCACCCATACCTTCTATTTTGGAGCCTGTGATTTTGCCATTAGAGGGTATGTCTGTCTTGTATTTTTGCCCCTTTGCCATGTACCCCATTCATCTTAGCAAGACCCCACTGGACTCTTGTGCTTTGCACTTCAGACAATGTCACTCTGGAGCATGTGCAGTAGAGATTGTCTGCCATCTGCATCCTTCGTCGTATCCTCTCAGAACCTCATTATCACATTTCTATGTTCAAACCCCAAATGGCCTTTGTGCAGCAACCCTACTTGTCCCAAACACTTCGCCTTAGGGACCAGTGTCATTTTAGTGACTTTTCTTGCCATTTCCTTAAGAGCATTGTCTTTCCAATAGCTGCAATTCCTGCCCAGTGACTAATTCCATTTCATTTTGGGAATGCCATCAGTTTGTGTGAGATTGTCCCCTGAACTGTGAGGAGCCACCATCACATAAGAGAGTACACAATAGAGATGCTGAGAGACGATTTTCCAGTGCTAGCTGTACTTGCAGTTTGATGGCTCTTTGAACGGTTGGTTTCAAAGCCTTATAAAGAATTTACAACTGAAATTGTGAAATAAAAAAAATAGTGGTGACAAGCAACCAAGAGAGGGAAAGCTTGTCTTTGCCTGTTGTGTGAAAAGACACCAGAAGTGAACGGTGAGCAGCAGCTTTATGAGCTGCTTTCTCCTTTAGGGGGATGTGACTTTTGACACAGAGGAAAATCAGTTGGAGAATTTCCCATCAGATGTAGAATCATCTGTTGGAAAGCCTCCTTTACTGGAGCCTAGATTGAGGCTGAGAATGACACAAACTAAAGGTGTTCCATTTTCTGAAAATAGCAGGTGTGTATCTAACCTCAAAGACGAGTAAGGAACACATGAAAAAAACAACCAACCAGGATGCTATATCATGCGCTGTGGAAATATTATCCCCTAAATCTTCAGCACTAATCGTTTCTGTCACTTCAAGTGACTTCCTTTTTAACCCGAAGATTTTAAAGTGCTTAGTAGCAAATACACGATAAACTCCAAGAACTGTGGATCAGAAATGAAAACAACAGTCTCAGTGTGGGAGCCTCATGCAGACCCTTAGCAGGGTGTGGAGTTAATTGAGTTTTACATCCTTCCAATAAGAGAAATTTATTAATTAAAAGAGTAACGTATCCATCCCATTAATACCTATGCACAGGGGACTGAGAAATACTAAATCATAATTCGACATGACCAGCCAAAGGCAACTCAGCAAAGCAAAAGTCACCTGACCCAGCACCCGTGGGCTCTATATGGGAGACTGCTTATTTAGCATCATGGGTTGGGGAGCAGACAGGAAGACAAGAGAATTAGGATAGGATCTCCTTTATAACAAACTACAACATTCTCAGTATTTCTTGTCCAATCTTTCATTATTAGATGAGAGAATATTATAGCCATTTGTAATCATAACCATTGATTTTAGATTAGTTTAAAACTGTTTCTGATTGATTTTATGATATTTGGCATTTAAGGAATTATGTGAAACAAGTGAATTTACTTTTATCACTTGTGGTTATTAGAATTCCATTTCTGTCTTGCAGACAATATTCTAATTCGTGTGTTTTCAGGGGGCTGTGACAGGTCTCTGTAGCTGGTAACAGTACTGAAAATGAGTAGTGGGTAAGTTTGAGACTTAATGGTTGTGAAGTCCTTAAAAAACAATCCTGTGTTCTTAATGGAGTAGCAGAGAATGAGAAACTAAAGCGGTTTTGCTTTCCCTGCGTGCATCTCACTTGGAAGTTAGGAACATGGCTCAGACTGATTGAGCTAGGTTGGGGGTAAAGAACTCGCCGGGGTTTCCAGATGAAAGCAAATGCTTAGCCGTAGACTTAAAAGTCAATGTACACTAAACTGTTAGTGCAAACGGATGCCGGCCCTGATCAGGACTCAAAAAGCAGAATGTGAGCCATTCAAAGCACATGTCTCCTTGCCCCGGGCAGGCTCAGAACCAGGCAGCGAAGCAAGAACTCATTAGTGGTATCGCTCAGGATTCACTGCTTGGCACAGTTATGTTTGCTTAAAGAAGGAGTCAGATTTTGAAGACGGAAGATGCTTCCCATACAAAGCCCAGTGGTCCAGACCCTTGGGGTCAGAGCAAAAAGGCAATGTTTGATGAAACTTTGGTGTTTCACATGATATTAATAAAAATTAAAAGCAAAAAATTCTATTTGAGAAATTAAGAGTTAACCAAGGCTCAGTATGCTTCTTTCTTATTAGATGTCTCCAAGCCTTCAATACTTGAATGTGTTTGGTTGTTTCCTTAGTTACTGGGCCTTTGAGCTGTTTTTTGGACAGTTGGTATTGACTATGGTTGCATCCTTATGTTTCACTGGGGCACCATTTGGTGAATGCAGAAATGAAATATTATAATCCCTGGATTACAGACAGGGAAGGTGAGGCCACAGAGTTTATGTTTTAGAAAGTGGTAGAGAACTGACATCCCCATCTTGGAAGCATCAGCTCTTGGGTCCAGAGTGTGAAGCAAATTTATGGTTCATATCCTGCAAGGGTCTCCAACGTCACATGTTTCTGAAAAAAACCTTACCCATGCTCTCCTTCATCTCAGGCAGGACACACAGACATCCACAAGACAGCAGTACCTGATATAGAGGCATGCAGATGCTATCAATCCATTCCAATTGCAAGCGGGGCAGTTCGTCTTTCCGGTTCCGGTCAAAAATAGCCTAGAACAAAGAAGTTGAAGCCCTGCTTTTATTCACTGGAGTGTCTTACCGTCACTTTGTCAAATAATGCATCAGATTTTACCAACTGAATATTCCACAAATCATAATCCTTACACATAGCTTCTTTTCCTTTATCTACGGTAAGAAATAAAGTATTTTTTTCACATCCTACATGATTTATAAGTGAATTTATCTGAACTTTATGGCGTTCAGCTCCTCAGGGCCAAAATCTGTCTGCAGGTACATGTAATTGTTACTAAATCAAGTCGCCAGGTCACTGGGAACTGGGTACAAGTCAAGGGGAAGGAGATACATCTTATTGCCACAAAATAATGCAGGCTTTTATTTCTGTAGTAAGAAGTTATCCAAGATTGAAAAAGATCGTTGACAGGAATTTTCTTTTCTTTTTTTTCCCTTTTATTAAACATAAATTATTTTATGACCATTTTAAGGGTTGGGTGCTGGCTAGACAATCACGTGTTTTCTAGTAAGGTTCTGATATTAGTAGGTTACTAAGCACTTGCCTTTGGATGAATGGCAGTGGCAGGCATCATCCTTCCTCTACCTCAGCCTTTAAATTTTATGACATTATTATGCTTGATATAGTTTTTGTACATTTCTAAAAAGCCAGACTGATTTATTTCTATTGGAAAGACTTCAATCAACTGGAATTAGATGGATAAAATGGATTCCTTTAACGAACAGCCAACTCAACTCCAGTGAGAATGCCCTTCCCTTTATTCTTAAGGAGTAAGGCCGGGGCCTATGATGTTACCTTGTGTCTGCTGATCTGGAAGGGGGCACTGCCTAGTTAGAACTTGTCTTGCTATATTGAAAATTGAGGTAAAATGTGCCACCCACATCATTCTGGTGTCTACAGCATTCATGAAGGCAGGTCCAATCCTCATCCTTAGTCCTGAGGTGGTGGAAAGGCTGCATCATTCAGACTGATGAACCACAGAGGAAGTGTGTGTGTGTGTGTGTGTGTGTGTGTGTTAGATATCTCTAGTTACAGAATCTGAGGTAAACATCTCTACCTACAGTAGAGAGAGAGCACAGACTTCCACAGACCCTGCAAGTCCTTTCTGACAAATGACTGGAGTTCAGAGAAGACTGTGGAATGTGCTGGAGAAAGTGACAGTTATTCTGAAATACATAAAGCTTGCTTCTAAAATGTTCCTATAAAATTTCTGTGTGTCTATACATGTTGTGTCATTGTAACAAAACACCTGAGGCTGAGAGTAACTTTATAGCTTTATAGTTATGGAGGCTGGAGTGTTTGCATCTGTTGATAGCTTTCTTGCTGGATGCCCTGGGAATTCCAGGACAGCATATGACACAAGACAAGGAGCACACATTTATGTCTTCTGGTGCCTCTCCCCCTCCTATGATCCTCACTAATTTGATCATGGAGCTCCCCACCAATGAACTTATCTAGTCTAATAACCTCCAGAGGCCAGGCCTCTCCCGATTGGAATGGGATTGAATTTCCATGCTCTCAATACTTATACTGGGGATTAAGTTTTAGCACAGGGAACCTCAGGACTCAGACCACACCCAAACCACAGCAGTCTGATTTATTTCCTCAATCGTTCCTTTTCTACCTGAATTATTTATTTAGCTGCTCTGTTTCTGATGGATATTGTATAGTGACAATCTTAAAACTTGAAGGAATCTCAGAATACACACAGAATTGTACGATTATCACTACATATAATTTTAAAATCCATATCAACAATAGCAACTCTACCTTCTTGCAAACTTCCAGCCTGATGCAAGCAGTGGTTTATTCCTACCTGTACAGATTTGCCTATTTCATACAACTCATTTAAATGGAATCATATGTGCATGGATTTTTAGGACCAGCTTCTTTCATGTAGCTTGATTTTAAAAGTATACCTAGGTAGCAAGTATCAAGACTTCACTCACTTTTTGTCATGTTATATTTCAGTGTACAGATTTATGACATTTTGTTTATTAATTCATCGGTTGATGGGCATTTGAGTTGTCGCCACATTGTGGCTGCTATGAGTGATGCTGGTGTGAACAGTTGTGTGCAAGTTTTTGTATGGGTGTGTTTTTTATTTCCTTTGGGGATAAATCTAAAAGCGAATGGGCTGCATGGTAACTCCACATTGAACTTTTTACATTAAACTTTGTTTTTTACATTGATGATGATGATGCCATGATATGCATGTGGAGGTCAGAGGAGAACTCTCAGGAGTTGGTTCTCTCTTTTCTCCGTGGGATCGGGGATGGAACTCAGATTGCCAGGCTTATACAGTGAGTGCTTTGCCTGCTGAACCTTCTTGCTAGTCCTATGTCTAACATTTTGAGGATTCCAGACTGGATTTTCAAAGTATCTGCACTAGTTTGCATTCCTTCATGCATCTCATTATGTCCTGGCTTCTCTGAAAGCTGATCTATGTTTGTATTGTCTGTCTTTTTAATAACAGTCCTCTTAGTGTACGTGGTACCTCACTAGGACTGTGATTTGCATTTTCGTGATGGTTTAAGATTTTAACCATCCTTTTGTGTGCTTGTTGGCTGTGCGTTCATTCATGAGTATGTTCATAAGTGACATGCTTATGTGTACCTTTTTCCAATTTTAACTGCGTTGTCTTTTTTGTTATGAGTTATTCTAATGCTGTAACTATGAGGCCCATATAAGATATACAATCTGTAAATACTTTCTCTTATTCTGTAGATTGTCTCTTTGTTTGCCTTATAATATCATTTGGTAAGACATGTTTTAAACTTTGATCAAGTCTAGTTTAATTTTGGTAAAATACAAGCTAGCCTCTCTGGCCATCTTATCTTCTGCCTCTTGTATTTCTGGTATCATATCTAAGACACCATGGCTGAATCAAACTCAAAAAGATTTAGACCTCTGTCTTCTTCGAAGACTTTTATTATCTTAGCTTTTAGATAGATCTAACTGTTTTGGCTAAATCTATTAAATAATATGAATTTACTTTTGGGTACACTAAGAAGGGCCAAAACTTCAATTCTTTTCACTTGGGAATAGCCAGTTAGCCATGGACCATTAACTGAAAAGACTGTTTTCCCCACCAAATTGTCTTGAAAGTCATGTTGAAATCATAGAACCATAATTGTAAGGGTTTATTTCTGGGTTGTCACTTCTTAATCAATATTTGAAGAGGTAAGAGTGAGCAGGGGTAACCCACTGTCCTGTGTTTTCTGTCTATAGTATTTTGCACCTCACAATTGAGCACTCACAATTATTTACCACTTGATAGTTCCCCCCAGTTGACAAGGTCCTAGGGTCCCTGAAGGTGGGGAAGATGATGTCCCCTCATTTCTGGATACACTGTGTTAAGCTTTTTGTTTGACTTGTATTGGTACTCAAGCCCATTTTATCAATCAGCTCACTGCTTTGAACACGAACCCTCTGACCGTGACGGTTACTGTGACGGTCTGTGGCCAACAGAACCCTAGCGGTGTTTCCTAGAAAGCAAATGATGGGGAGGTGAGCAGTAGTCCTAGGAGCATTACTGGACATTTCTGAAGATGGGTCAGTGAGGGAACGTCTCCACTCAGAAGCCAGACTGTCCTGAGGAGACAACTACATTAAGTAACCTTTTGTGAGGAGAGAGGAGCATTTACAGCTGTACATCCACCATGGAACTGATTTCATCTATGTCTTCAGAGAAGGCCTTAGCTGAGCCTGTAATTTATCAGGTTTTTCTTCATTTAGTTAAATGATCTGTGCTGCTGCATTGTAAACTCTTCAGAGAATGCCTCAAAATGGTTTTCAGAAGGAGGAAAAAGCTTTTGTTTTATAATGTAGATATGTAGCTTAGAGAAATTTGAGTTATAGGTTTTACAAATGAACTCTACGTATTCTAAACTAATACCTTTCTTTTCAAAACCAAATTTGGTATGACCACCAGAAAGAATCAAAGCTGTTCTGATCCCCATATAAATTCCTACTTTTTGAAAACTAAGATCATTAGTGTGTGCTTCAATCTGTGGTCCTGTGGCCTTTTACAGGTAAGCCACTAACAGAAGCGTCAACTTCAGACAGACTGCGGGCATTCCCAGCTTATCATCAGCATTTTCAAATAAGGACAGCATGAGGTAATCTAACATAAGCAGCATACCAACCGTCCCAAAACCTGGATTCCCCACGTTTCAGTGTGAAAACAAAATAAAAAATGGTTTGAAATGATTTGCTTTGGAGAATTTGAAAGTTTGGAAGTGAAAAATAAAACCCAGGTATTCCTTGAGGCTGGACAGCTTGACTGACTTTAACCCTGATGTCATTTCTGTTCTAAAGTGGGCATGAGTGAAATGCCCATGCTGGCTCTGAGATGTTCGGACTCCGCCCTGCATGCATCCCTGGTGCCTGCTTGTTTGTCCCACTGTGGTTGCTAGGAGAATACTTGTTAAGTAGTTCAGCAGTCTCAATCAGAAACCCAGGATCGAGGGGGTTAGCATTCTTGTTTAGTTAAAGTTTCAAGCTTTCAGTTCTCCAAACCCCTTCTCCCATTTCAAGCTGTGGTAGTAAAAGGACAAGCTTACTGAGGGAGTGAGTTTGAGTTCGGACCTCTCCCGATCTCCTTGTTCAAAGAACTCGCTGGTTACAAGTTCAGCCACCTGAAACACAGAATCATTTAAAGATCATTGTGGTGTAGTACATCATGAGACTCAGAAGTTATTTATGCATGGAAATGATCTTAATTCAAAGAGCCTGGTCTTCAGGATGCCTGAGTCTGGTACTGAAAGCGCTGGTTTATGGTAGGCCCCAGTTGTTATTCTCTTTAGTCTCAGCTTGCACTGGCGTGTAAGTACCACGTGCAGATTGCAGCACTTCAGCTCTGTTATACCCATAATGCAATGGTTGCTCCGCCCCCAATCACAGGCACCTGCAAATCTCCCTCCCACCCTCCTCACCCTCATCTCCCATCCCTTCCACCCCCACCCCCTATCCCTGCTTTCATGAGCATGGATGACCCACACTCACAATACAAAGGCTTCTTTTTTGTCTTTCTAGTCCCTCAGTTTGTGATTCTCAGGATCATTGCGGAAAGAGAATTGATAGAACAGACAAATGCCAAGGCATATTTCTAAGGACACTAAGGTATGCAGCTAGGGAATCTCTGAATGAATTAACTGGGATTGTAGTGTATTGGGATTCTTGGGGGAAGGAGTTCTAGACAGTGGATGGCAAGAAAGCCTGGGTCTCCAAACTGCTTTTTCTCCATTTTAATGTTGTTACAGAAGAGGAGAATCCGATACCCTATAAAAGTGAGATGGTTTAATTTGGTTGGGTACATGGAATCAAGATAATGTTTTCTAAGTCAGATCTGGTGTCAAGTGTCTATAATCATAGCTACTCAGGGTTCTGAGGCAAGGTCTGTCTGGTGATAGTGAATTCAAAGATACCCTACAGAATTTAGTGAGAACATGTTTCAAACAGTGAAAAGAATTCTGGGGATATAGCACTGTGATAGAGTGTACACTTAAAGTGCATAACGTCCCAGCACTACAAAAAATGATAGTTTATTTATATATACCTGAAGAAAGGGAAAATAAAATTTAAAGACAACATCAAACTTATACATGTACATATACCCACACAGTAAAGATGAGAGTAGCAATATTAAAAAACCCACACATCCAGTAAGGTCAGATTTCTAACATTTCTAGTAAGAAGTTTGGATCCTATTCGAGAATTCAGCTGCACAGAATAGGAAGGGACTCAGAAACTCGCCTCCCATGTCCCCTGTATTTGTAGGTTCTGGACCTGAGTCGCCCCTCTCTAGCCTTGGCCACTACCTTTGATTTCCACACTCTGGCCTGGCTTTTAAAGCAGAAACAGTCTTCTTAACCAGCCTCCAGGACTCTCCCTCCCTCAGCCGCCTCTGAAGCTGTGTCTTCTGCATTAATGTAAATGGCAACAGGGCACCCCAGGCAGGAACCCTGTGCACTCCTTGGAAAGCAAAGACATTAATGGGGACTCTTGATGTTCCCCTCCTAGAGTAGCCCCGCCCATCTCCCACCCCTGCTCTCTTCACAGTTTAACCTGAACCCCTGACTTATTTGTACTTAAAAACCTGATCAGTATCATTAAGCAGCTCATGACTGGATTTTTCATTAAAGAAGGAAGCTGATCAGGTGGTGGAGAAGTCACTGAGGAAACCCACATACTTCAAGTCATGTTCTTGAGGAAAGATGAGTGGTGGAAAAAACCCAGTTAAGGTGCATTCGGAAAAGATTTTTTAAAAAATAAAATGAACATCTAGGAAGTATGCATTTGCATAATCTCCAAATGACTCACACCTGTAATCCCTAGCACTTGTGAAGCTGAGGTAGGAGGATTGTCATGACTTCAAGGCCAGCCTGAGCTACAGAATAAGATTCTATCTCCAAGTATGTTTTCAAGGGCTTAGTGATTAAGAGAGACCATTTTTCCAGAGGACAGATGTTCGAATCCAGCATCCACATGGTGGCTGACCACTGTCTGAAGCTCCAGTTCATGTAGATTTTTGATGGGGAATGTACTTCTGTGTATGTTCATCTTATTGATTGTTGAATAAAGTACTGTTTGGCCAATGAGGCAGCAAGTTAGGCGGGACTAGGAGTCAAGGAGGATTCTGGGAAATGTAATAAGGAAGACTTGCGATCCAGGCAGGAAGTGACATAGCACGCAGACTCATATATAAGGACAAGAAGGAAGTCAGTCCCTTCTCTCTTCCTCCTGGTCTCTGCTCTGGAATCATCATGTGATCTGCCAGCAAGAGAGGGCACCAGCAGAAGGCGTCCTCTATAAGATAAGTCTTATAAAATATATTCATTGATGATAATTAAGACTGAGCTAGCAGATGAGAAATCCTAGTCATTGGCCAAGCAGCATTTGTACCTAATATAAGTCTCTGTGTGTTAGTTGGGATCATAATGTGGCGGTGAGCAGAATTTGGGCAGCCTGGCAGAAAGCGCCCACGTGGCAGCAAGGCTTGGGTGGCTTTGGCAGAAAGACTTATTGTTACAGATTTTAAAGCCCTCTTCTGGCCTCTGGGCATCAGGCACTCACATGGTATGAAGAAACACATGTAGGAGAAACACCCATACATATAAAATATAAATGTACATATTAACATGAGTATATACATAAATGCATATTAAGCATATGAATGTTTGCATTTTAAGCATATGAATGTGTGTATTCGTGTTTGCATATTCCTTGGCACAAGTGAATAAGAGGATTATGTGCACACATGTACAAGTATGTGTAGAGGCCAGAAGTGGATGTCTGGTGTTTTCTTTGATTGCTCTCCACTTTATTGAGGCAAAGTCTCTTCCTGTACCCACAGCTTGCAATTCTGGCTGGTCTAGCTATCCAGCTTGCTGTGGGGACCTCCATGTGCTGGGATCATGGGGATGCCCTGTCCCCACCTCTATGTTCTGGGATCGTGGGGATGTCCTGTCCACACCTCTATGTGCTTGGTAGGATCACAAGTGGCCACCACTCCTGCCCAGATTTTACATGGATTCTGAGGATTAGAATTCCAGTAGCCACAGTAGGTGCCTTATGCACTGAGCCATTTTCTCAGGCCCAGAATTTAAAAAGAAATTGTGATTGTTTTGTTCAAATGTTTCCTAAAATCAACAAGTGAATATAATTTTAAAAATATCTTCATCTATTCAGTTTGGAGACAAACATGAATGAGATTTCCAACTTAGATGTGTGGTGAGATTTCAGAGGGAAACATTTGAAACATGGTTTTGTGTTTTATTCTTCTCAGTGCTTATGCTTTTATGTTTATCAGCAGAGCTTCATACCCTAGAAATAAAATAATTAAAATAAGATAAAACAATGGTGACTGAGAAGGCCAGCTACCTGCATATCAATCAGGCTTCCCAATGGATCTAAAATATCATTCAATATCATTCGTTAATTGCTTCTGTTTTAGGTACTGTGCCCTGCCACTTTCTTTCCCCAGGTGTATTCTTTTAACCAAAAAAATTTTACATCTTTTATTTATCCTTTCGCAGTTTTATAATGTATATAATGTATCTTGATCATTTTGATCCAAAACTTCCCTCTTTGCTCTAACCCCACTTTGGGCCTCTCCCAACATGTCCCCTCTCCTCTGTTTTATAACTCACCAGTTCTGCCAGTGCTGCCCACTGCAATGTTGGCTGACTGTTGGCTTGATCCTGTATAGATCTTGTGTGGGTTAACTGTAACTACGGCAAGGTCATGAGTGCAACAGAAAAGAGCCTTTCAGAGCTCTCCTCCATATCCTTTGGCTCCTCTATCCTTTCTGACCCCTCTTCTATGATAGTACCCGAGACTGGGGGGCGGGGGTGACATGGATGTCCTACTGAGGGATGAGTGCTCATAGTTGCTTATTCTCAGCACTGTGACCAGCTATGTTGACACCTTCATTCTTGATGTGCATTTCCCTGGGTCTCCTATAGCCTGGAACTTCTAATCTGCTCCCCTTCCATCACTACCACGGGAGCTGCCCTAGCCCCACCCACACTTTCCACAATGCCTGGAAGAGTCACCTGCTTCTGTTCTCTTTGTCTACCTTCTTACATGATGGGCAGAGATGTTGAAAGTTTTTCTTTATGTGATCTCTTGTTGATGGGGAATGTACTGTATATGTTTATCTTATTGATTCTTAAATAAAATACTGTTTGGCCAATGAGACAGCAAGTTAGACGGGACTAGGAGTCAAAGAGGATTCTGGGAAATGTAGTAGAGAAGTGGTGATCCAGGCAGGAAGTGACATAGCAAGGAGACTCATATTTAAGCAAAGGAGAAATAGGAATAGTCCCCTTTTCCCGTTCGCCTCCTCCAGGGGCAGAATGTGAGCCACGGACAAGGAGGGATGCCAACAAGGCATCCGATAAGATAAGTCTTATAAGATATATAGGTTTATGATAATTAAGACTAAGCTAACAGATGAGAATCCTAGTCATTGGCCAAGCAGTTTTAAACCTAATACAAGTTTCTGTGTATTCATTTGGGTCTAACTCAGGGGGGGCGGCTGGCCTAAAGCTCACACATGGCAGTGGGGCTCAGGGGGCTTATGGCAGAAAGATTTATCATAACATCTTGTGACTGCTAATGTGTCACACTGAAATCGACAAGGGCTGTGACATAAGAATAAACGAACTTGTTTGTGTTCCTAACCTTGACATAGGACAGAATTGGTATTAAAGCAAGGTGCTGATGGTTAAAAATACAAAAAAAAAGGGGGGGGAGAGAGAGAGAGAGAGAGAGAGAGAGAGAGAGAGAGAGAGAGAGAGAGCTCTTAAGACATGTATCAGCTTGGAGGCCAGATATCAGATAGACAGGAGGCTGTACAGATGACTGTCTCTTATGTGACTTTGAGCAGTTATCACTGAAAGAAAGTAAGCACTATTCCTAAGGAATGTATAATTTCGGGAGAAGTGATTAAAAAACAAAATGCCAACAGCATACACTAGCAGCTGCTGCCTGTTCCCTAGGAAGGCTAGAAGTGAGCTCAGGAAGGATTAGCAGGCATATATATGATGAGGATGAAAGGGAACAGAAAAATCCAGTCTTGTGGGAACAGAGATGAAGCTGCTTCTTAATTCCAAACTAGAAACATTAAGATTAAGGCATGCTTTAGATGAAAAAATATTAAGACTCAGCCTTGAAATCTAACTAATGGTATGGCCAGCATACTTATGGATAAAATATCTGAATGAATTATCTGACTTTCAGCAAATTCCTTTTTAAAATAGTATCTGTGCGTGCAACACTTTCGGAGGAGGTCAATGGACAACGTGAAGGAGTTGGTTCTCTTTTTGCATCTACCTTATGGGTCCGGGGAATGGAACTCAGGGCATCAGGTCTTGTCATCAAGCACCTTTACCTGATGAGCCATCTGGCACAGCCAATTTTTTCTTAAATGAAAAAAAAAATGGCTCAGAAAATAATTTAACTACATAGTTTTTTCATGAAAAAACTGAGACCTTGGGTTCTCAGATGAGTAACAAGAGAGAAACAGATTTACTATATTTGTCTCTTCCTGAATGTCAGAAAGCAAAAAAGAAGCTAAGATGTTCATATAGAAAAGAATCATGGTATTTTTTGTTTGTGTTGAATGTTTAAGAGCACTTTTGTGCTTAAGAAACCGAAAGTCTGCAACTATGTAAAAACAGCTTGCAGCCTTCTTCAGGTGATAAGTAGGCTGAGGAAGCTACCTAACCTTCAGAGGAGACAGTGAAAAAGGAATCATTTTCCTAGCAGAGCTAAAAAGCTGTGGAAAGAAAGAAAGCCATGAGTGGGACACTCCCTGGGGAGCCAGGCCCACTGCTGGTGGAGAGTTCATGGAGAATGCCTGGAGGGCTTGGGATGTCCACAGACTATTGGCTGCAAATGTCCTTTATCTCTTCCCTTGCTGACTGGGACTGCTGTGGCGGTATTCTGTGTGTGTGGAGGTGCCTCTCTGATGCTGTATTTTGGGCATGTGTAGGTCCTTGAGTTACACCCAGACCTGCGGTAGGGATGGTACATATCATCTGGAGGTTCTGGACTGTGAGCCTGACACCCTGACTCATGGGCCACCCGATTTGTCATCCCTGGGGAGAGAATGGGTATGGTTTTCTGAAAGGACAGTGAATGACACTTTTGGTGATCTTAAGGGCAAACTGTGCTACATATATCCTCACAAACTGTTTCTGACTTTCTGCTTGCTGGACACAGGCATGGATTGTACTTCTTGGTGGAATAGGGTTATGTGACAAGTCTGGACCAATGGATTGTTGAAGGCATTGAATTCTACTGTCAGACCCTCCATGGTCCATCATCCCAGTCCAGAATGAGAGCAGAGGTTCTGGTCACTTTGAGTGCTGCCTAATGGAAAACTGTAAACTCGCTTAAAACATGAGGTTTTTGTTGTTGCTGTAACTTCATTGCCTGGTTCTGGAGCATGAGCTTTGCAAATGACACTATCATGTCTTAGTGTCAAAAGGTTAGACCTGTTTAAACCATGATGTATCTTGCAAGTCTGTGTCTTGTTCATTCTTTTTATAACCCAAAGGAATCATGGATCACACTCAGTTCCCTTGTCTCTCCACCACCAGAACAAGCTCTGAATCCAAACACAAAGGTTACATCTAGTGTGAACTTGTATATTTTGACTAGGTTTTTTTTTTTTTTTTTTTTTTTTTTTTCCAAATTCTTGGCTCGGGAACTGTTGCCTTCCCAGTGTGAAGACCATCAATGACTAGCTCCACAGAAGTAGCCGATTGGTGAAGGACATCTGGTCTGCATATTTACTGTGTTAGTCATGATGGCAGTGATCCTTAAGTAGCCAGGGAGGAAAAGAGCACGTCTATGTTTATTTCACCAGCTACTATCTACAGAAGACCTTGGGCTACTTATCCTTTCTAAGCCCCATTCTTCCATTTGTGAAGTGAATGCAATGACCAAGTTAATTATCCTAAAACTCCACAAAACATCACTCCAAACTCCATGGCTAAGACAACCATAGAAGTTATTCCTGCACAGTTCTTGGGGCCAGTGGTCTACATCAGGGCGATGAGCAGAAGCCCAGGGGTTGACTCTGTGCTCCTTTGAAGGCTCTGTCTGTTCCTTGCCTCTTTTCAGTGTTTGGTAGCTGCCAGGCACTTCTTGGGGTGTTGACATCATCATTCCAGTATCTGTCTGAGTCTCACATTGCCTTCTCTTCCAAATTCTGCGCTCCTTCTGCTCTTTACAAGGACATTTGTGACTGGAGTTGGGACCCACCTGGATAGTCCAGGCTCTTCTCCTTCAGCAAATCCTTCCTTACATCTACTTTTGCATGGGGAAAATTGTCCTTTTCTTCTCAGGCAATGGTTATAGGTTTCTGGGATCATGATAACTTTGTGTTGTGGTTGCTCAGCCTATGTACAGGCTACCTACCATATATTAAATGAAACAACACATACTAACCAGTCATTTATTAGTATATGAATATACCTTATTTCCCCCCAAATGTCATTTTAGGATCCCACGGTCTCTATAATAGGTGTCTCACAAAGCTTAGTGAGTTTGTTGCTAGCCAGTCAAGTACTCAGGAAGGAGGCTGAGGCAGGAGCATTTCTTGAGCCAGAGAGTTTGAGAGCAGCCTAGAAACTATAAAGTTATCTTGCCTCAAGAAAAAAGTAAAATAAAATAAAGTTAAAGAATAGGACAAGAAAACCTAAAGAGCTATTAACCCCTCTTAGTAACCAAGGATCTTGGTAATCAAGTAGTTTGGGAGCCACTTCATTCAAAACTACTATTGCTAAAAAATAATGCTTGGGTGCATTGAGAAATTGTAAAACCACTTTTAGTCTTGATAAAAATTAAATGGGACACAGCACACTTTGGTACTTGGAAACAAAACAGAATCTCACTTTTCCTGTCTTCTTTTTCATGAGTGATAAAAAGGTTCGTGTGCTAAATCAGGATTACTTGTTCAAAAACAGTATTGTGAACTGTCTGCCTTAAAGATGGTCAAAACATTTTTCAGATTTAGCACACTACAAAGATCTTGCAGCCAGAAACAAGCATTGTTCAGTGGAAGCACTGGAAGAAAGACTTTACAGGTAAGATGGCCTTCTGACTTAGCCCACTGCAGCTCTGTGCAGGCCAGCACCTATGCAGACTCTGTTCTCAGTGCTCGGACCCCCCTTCCCCACTCCAGGCCCTCTGCTGAGCTCTGCCATTAATCACCACTTGCCTGTCTGGAGATCTCCCATGGTTTGGTCACGGCTCCAAGGTCACAGGCTGTCATTAACATCGATCTGAAAAACACAACCAAACAGCCTGAATAATCCTCTGCTGCATTCCTAAACAAAACCTAGATCCATAAATAAATAAAATCCAGAAGCAGGGTCAGCCCACATCTTCTTTCCTCAACAAGGCCCCACGCTGTTTAATGTCTCTGTTTAACGTCTCGCCTTGCCATGCAGCCGCTACTGCCTGGAAGACAAAGACCTCTCACATCCTCCCTGTGCCCTTTTGTTTTGTCTGCAGCAAATCCAGGAAAACAAACAGTCCTCTCTCTGCACCTAAGTCAAGCAGGCTCTGGTTAAATAACGTGCAATGAGCCCTCCTCACCCAGCTTAACTATAAGCAAAGTGATTGGTATATAACGTTTTGTGGCCAGCGACTGTGTTTACTGACTTAACACTGACGACACAAATCCACACCAAAGAGGCGAGGTCCATGCTGTGTAGGGAACTCTTTTGTGTTCACAGTTTCACAGAGCCCAGATTCACCAGAGACAGCCACACTGTGTCATCTGGGTTACTACCTGGGGGCCACCATGTTCTATTACACATTCTCAAAAACATGCCCAGCTATTTCCTTAATCTTGCATGCATAAAACACAGGTACAAAATGAATCAGGTTTTCCAGGGGCAGATTAAACTAGGATTCACACCGAACCATGGGAACACTGGCAATCATTCAAATCATTCATAGAGTATTCTCAGATATCGGTGGAGGGTAAAAATGAAGGTATGTCTTTCGTCCCTGGTCTGCTGTTTTTCAGCTCACACTAGAAGTGCTCGATGGAGAGTAAATCGCACAGGACGGGGAGCTGGGAGGTGCCCTGGCTGGCTGCTTTTGGAAGAAAGGATTCGGTGTGAAAGGTCAGAGGGCTGTCCTCCTGTCAGCTAGAGTTTTAAACCCTGCTGGATCTCAGTGTCTTGGAAAGATGTCTGCTTCCCAGATGGCAGAGCAGGATAGGAGTGGGCAGAGTCCTAGCTAACAATGGGTTATTCAGGGCGAGCCAGACAGCTCCCGCATCAGCCACCCCCCTTGGATAGAGCAGCATCCAAACACCCTTATGCTAAGCTTGTGCAAGGGAGACAGCTCGGTCTGCTGTTGGCTTCTGATGCTTTGTAGCCAGCCTCTGGCTGTGCTGCTTTCCCCCTGCTTCTATAATGAGTGCTTTCCTAACTGAAGGAGTAATGGCTGCCTAACAGAGCCTTTGCTGTGGCCTCAGAGGTGGATCCTATTGTTCATATTTACAAACAAAAGCCTGGGGAGATGAAGTAACTGTCTCAGGTAAATAAAGGGTTCAGGATTCTGTGTTTATCACAAAGCTACCAGACTGCTCAGTACACTCTAAGGAGTCTCATTTTAGGTTCTGTAAGTACAGGAGGGAGCGTGGATATGGGTAACACACAGTGTTGTCTCCTGCACAGGAAATAATCTCTGTGAGGTTGCTGGCTTGGACATACTTGGGATAATTACTTAGGTTCTATTCAATTGATCATCTGAAGCTTTTTCAATATACACAGAAAAAGCGTGGCTAAATGCCCAATAATGGAAAACCCACACAAATGCATGCTTTTTCTTACCGAAACACATCACGGTGACTTTTGATGTTCCAATCGTAGTCTCCTTTACTGACAAGCTCAAAGAACTCAGTTCTCCTCCTGCAGGAAAATCAAATGAAGAAAGGGGAGAAAACCCTGGAATGAAATTTCTCAGTCTATGGAGTGACATAAACACATTTATGGAGAAAATATAAGACCACCTGAACTCAGTAACTTAATATTTGAAATCATGAGGCTAAAGTACTATCAAAATAAATCACTTAAAAATGTTGAGACATCAAGAGAAAGCCACAATCATTTCTAAATGTATTTACAACAAAGGACAGTATAGATCCATAAAACAGAAAACAATTCGGTCAGGACTGTGCTATGAAGCCTCCGTGACACTGAAAGTCAGAGGAGGGAGGCAAGGACAGACAAAGGCAGGGACAGCTTCAGAATGTTTGTCATCACTCAACATGGGATACTCAAGGCAAGATAAACTCCCTGGCAGTAAGTTCAAGACAAAGATTTGCTTTCCAGCTCAGAAAAATAACAATTTTTCCATCTTGGTGCTTAAATTCATAGGGTACAGGGTCGGGAAGGAGCCATGTCTAAACCGTAGCTCATTTGTCTGCTTGCTGTGCACCTATGGGAAGTTATTGAAATCTGCTGAGCCTTAATTTCCCAAGGCACAATTTAGGTATTTCATTTACTAACTCACTGACTTACTGGGAGGATTGAGATGGCTGACATTTATAAGCAAGTAGCACAATGCATAAATATTTTAAGTGTTTTATACACACACACACACACACACACACACACACACACACACACACACACACACCATGCCTACCTATGCCATACATCTCCAGATGGATGGAAAGGACCCAAAGAGTTACATCTTAAAGTTATAAAATGTAGGCTAATACATTCCTAGTTTTGAAACTTTACACAATTTGTCATTTTTGTCCCAACAAAGAGAGAGAAAAAAGAGTATGGATACCATGGGCATTTTAAGAATCATTCCCCAAGTTTTCACCCTTTTAGCATTTACTAACAAGAATATGTTAAAGACTGTGACAAGTCTCTTTTCAAAGTGAATCCCACCCCATACCTATCTTAATGTTGCTCATCAACAAGTTCCCTGGTTCAAGCAAAGCTGGCCGCCACACGGCTCTCTTGGACACAACACCTACATCGGATCAGCCCTCTGAAGATTCTGAGAAATGATGAAGTGAAAAATCTTGCTTAAACTTGTTTAACTATAGAATCCCATAATGCACTGACATTTTAGGGATACTGGAAAGTATCATCAGGGTGTACCAATCATGCTGGCCACCAGAGTAGGGTCTTAGAAATGACCCATGGGAAGTTTGAGTGACAAAGAAAAGATGTTGAGAACCAGTTCCCCTGTGTCTGACCTGGGATGCTTAGAGAAGTTGACCAAGTTTGGCTTCCTTGTCAATCAGGGAGAGTGACTAATCAATTGACCTGAAAGGGAGCAAGCCTGAAAGACAATGTGTAGCTCATTTCCTTATTCCACACAACAGATGTTCTGGATCTCTCTCTTCAAGTGGATATAACACAAGTTATACTCTAGACTGGGATAATCCCCAAGATGCTCCCACAGCAAGGATTAGAGATGAAACTTCACAAAGAACTAGCAGTTCCCTTCCCCTTCTGCTAGGCAGGTACCTGTAGTCCTTACTTTGCATAACTCACCGTCTTTTTCATCTGGCCTGCTTCCTTCCAAAACAGAAAGGAAGGTGGCTCAGTGGAAAGGTCCCAGGTTTGGACTCATATTGACCTGGACTGTGACTTGCTAATGTGTTCCCTGTGACTCACCTTAATGCTGACTGTGACTTGCTAATGTTATTCCACATTGCTCAGACTGAGGGCCCATCTTTCTTCGGGAGGATCAAGGTAAGGTAGGCTAAATGTTTAGTGCTGGTGGATCCTACTGTCATGGTTAAAATAAAACAGCATGCACAGTCATATTGCCAGCAGCATTATATAGTGGAGTGATTCTGTTTTCTCGTGTTTTCCTTTCACAGAATAGAAACCAGTCTTTGTAATTTCTCTGGAGCAGAAAGTTGAGTCCAACAGATATTTATGAGGTATTTACTCACTTTTATCCTAAGGGTTTACTTAGCCTTATGGACATAAGGCAAAGTGCTATTTAAAAAAAAAACATTTTAAAGTTAGCTGGGATAACCAGTAAAGGAATAATTAATTCCTCTTTAAATGTGGTACTGTGGTAGTACCAATAATCTTGAGACTAGAGTGAGGTGAGGGAGGCACTCTGCAATGGGTGTCAGAAAAGCTCAGTAGTGGGGGTGGTGGAGAGAGGCCTCAAATAATGTTTGCAGAGGATACATATTGGGTGACTCACAACCAGTTGTAACTCCAGATCCAGGGGATCCATACCCTCCTCTGGAATCTGTGGGCACTCAAAATTATGTGCATGTGCCTATGCACCTACGAGAATGCATGCTCGTACACACACACACACACACACACACACACACACACACACACACACTGAAAAACAAAGTAAATCTTTTCAACAAAGCTCAAATCAACATAAATGCAAAAATCATGACAAATAAAATAACGAAATTCTAAATAAAGATAAGCTCTGGTCCTCCTTTTGTGCAACTCATGTTCTGTCACTTATCTCTCCATAGTCCCACTCTTGATGCAGATGACACTTGTCAGACCCTTCTTGTCATATGGGACTTTCTTCACTTACTGTCCACATGGTCAACCTTGGAAAAAGTTACCTAACATTGTTGGGCTTCATTTTTCTATTCAGAAAAGAATAAGCATAGTGAGCTCTGGTTTGTATGTCTATGGGTGTGTTTCATAAACTCCTTTGTGCAAAACAATCAGCAGAGTGCTGGTCAAAAGCGAATGCCTAGGAAGGACAGGTTACGGCTCTAGAGCTCATGAGTACCTAGCTAGCTCCCACAGCTGATGCATAGGCTGGGTCACAGAAGTAAAGGTTGGAACAACAGTGCCCCCCAGATAAGACCATCCTCCTGAAAGCACAGAGAGAGGCACTCAGCTTAAAGGATCATGGAAGATCATGGGAGGTTTTCTGGAGCTTGTCAGTCATCCTCTGGCCCTTCATACTCACAAGGGTCTCCATTTCAGTCTATGGGTTATTCCAAGGAATCAGCAGAATGCAAGCTCCTTGAGAACAGAGACCTGGCCCATTATCCTTTACTGCTGTTTGCAGTGCCTGCAACAGTGTCTCATATACAGTAAGAGTGAAATGAATACATGCTACATTGGTAAATAAATGAAGGATATTATCTGAGAAATCTGTTTTAAAATAGTTCTCCATTCATTTGACTTTGTTCAAACTCTAGTTGCTGTTCTAGGGCTTCATGCTAGCCCCTTAGAGCTTTAAAAGCAATGTAAGATTTATTTAAGAAAAGCCCAACTGTTTAACAGACATCTACAGAACATTCCATCCAAACACAAAAGAATATATCTTCTTCTCAGTGCCACATGGAGCCTTGTCTAAAATCGACCACATACTTGGCAACACAGCAAACCTTAACAGCTACAAAAAAATTGGAATAACCCATTGTATCTTATCAGGCCACCATGCTTTAAAGTTAGAATTCAACAACAATACAAATTGCAGAAAACCTACAAACTCATGGAAATTGAACAATGCGCAATTGCACCATTCCTGGGTCAAGGAAGAAATAAAAAAAGAAATTAAAGACTTCCTAGAATTCAATGAGAATGAAGACACAACATACCCAAACCTATGGGACACTTTGAAAGCAGTGCTAAGAGGGAAGTTCATAGCATTAAGTGCCCACATGAGGAAACTGGAAAATAATCACACTAGAGACTTAACAGCACAACTGAAAGCCCTAGAACAAAAAGAAGCGAACTCACCTTGGAGGAGAAGACACCAGGAAATAATCAAATTGAGGGCTGAAATCAATAAAGTAGAAGCTAGGAAAGCAATTCAAAGTGAAACAAAGAGTTGGTTCTTCGAAAAAACCAACAAGATAGACAAACCTTTATCCAAACTTACCAAAAGGCAGAGACAGAACATGTAAATTAACAAAATCAGAAATGAAAAGGGGACATAACAATGGACACTGAGGAAATCCAGAGAATCATCAGGTCATACTTTGAAAACCTGTACTCCATAAAATTGGGAAATCTAAAGGAAATAGGCAATTTTCTGGATAGATATCACTTACCTAATTAAATCAGGAACAGATAAGCAATTTAAATAGACCTATAACCCCTAATGAAATGGAAGCAGTCATCAAAAGTCTCCCAACCAAAGAAGATCAGGGCCAGATGGTATCAGTGCAGAATTCTACCAGAAATTCAAAGAACAGCTAATACAAATTCTCCTCAAAATATTCCACACAGTAGAAGCAGAAGGGTCATTGCCGAACTCTTTTTATGAGGCTTCAATTACCTTGGTACCCAAGCCACACAAAGACACAACTAAGAAAGAGAACTACAGACCAATATCCCTCATGAACATTGATGCAAAAATACTCAATAAAATACTGGCAAATTGAATACAAGAACACATCAGAAAAGTCATCCCATGATCTACTTGGCTTCATCCCAGGGATGCCTCCCACTCCAGCAAGTCCTGGCTGCTTGTGCAGCACCCACCCAGGGGCTGCAGCACCCAGGAGTCAGCTACTGCCCTGCTGGTTTCCAAAACACTCCCTCTTAACAAAATCCCATCCCTTCAGTCCATTCTAACTCGGTCCAAAAGCCATTCAGAATATCTTTCAGATTGTTTTGAGACTGACTTAACTATCCTCAGCTGAACTCTGTTTTGCGGTACACCTGTGCCACCACAAACAGCCACCTGTGCCACCTGTGTTCAAACACAGTTACTGGGACTGGAAGGGATACTGATACAGGTAAACTCACATTATGGCAGATAATCTGACAATGCAGACCATTGGGAATACTCTTGCTTCTTACATGAATATGATGTTAGAGGAGGCTTATGACTTACTGGTGCATACTTATACATTATGTTAGCAGTCAGCCTTATAGCCCATGTGATATCCCTATGGAAAAGACTGAGACAGAGACCAAATAACAAGGAC